ACCAACCGAAAAAAAAAAAAAGTCCTCGTTTTCGAAAATTTGCCGACTGCCATGACAACATTTGCCGACTAACTGTCTAAATTACCGACTAACTTATATCGAAAGGATCGACATTTGCCGACTAACTAGTCAAAAAGGGTCAAATTCGCCAACTAAGAGTCATATTTGCCTACTAAAAATCAATGATAAAGGGGGGGTGGAGGAGGTTTCAGGAGGTTTACTAGGAAATAAAGTTGATATTTTTCAAAATTTTCAAATTTCCATTTTAGATTGTTTTAAGAATTATCCCTGAATTCATTTCTGAAATCTGTTTTTCAGAAAAATAAACACAAAATGTATATTTTAAGATTTATACAAGGTGGTTAAATAAATTTTGCATAGCAACGGCCCCTAGCAATACACTTTTCTTGCTTGTTTTGGACTAATTTTTGTATATTTGGCATACTTTTCAAAAAATTTAATTTTAGTATGATGTTTAAGTCGTAGATTAAAAAAAAAAAAACTGCATTTACTTTTCAGCGTTATATAATAATAATAAGAGATGAACAAATGACAAAACTTTATATGTTTACTAATGACGTTGTTTATGGATTTTCTTTCTTTTATTATGTAAATATAGCTAATATAAAAAGTAATGGGAAATAAAAAAAAAGAAGTGAAGAGGACATTCTCTGGAAACAAGTTCCAAAAAGCAAGTAAAACCGAAATAGTAACAACAATTTTACTGAAAAAATCATGTAGTGCTAAAAAGCTAAGCAAATTTAATTTGAATGAAAAATAGTGTTCAGATGGTTTTAATTTGATTATGTATTTTCATATTCTCAAAGAAATATTAATGCAACTTGGTAGCTACCCAGATTGTCGAAATGGAGTATTCTTACAAAATGATGGTTCAAAGAGAATGGGATTTTCACACAGTTTGAAAATCACATGCACATCATGATCATATGAATGGTGCACTTTTACAAGTAATACTGCGGACAAAAGCACACAAAGTAAAGGCAGGAGTACATTTGATATTAACTTAAGAATGATTATGGCTTTTCGCGAGATTGGTCAAGAGCATGAACCCATGAGTTGTTTCGCTTATATTACAAATATGAGTTGCATGAATGTAAATACTTTTCAAACTAATCATAAATTGATTCAAGCTACTTATGATTCTGCTGCTAAAGATTGTATGAAGTTTGCTGCAAATAAAATTAAAGCAAATGCTGTTGAAATATCCACTACCGGTGTTCCGTTAATCCAGGTTTCTCTTGATGGTACTTGGCAGAAACGAAGACATTCTTCTCTTAATGGTATAGTTACTGCTATAAGCAGCAATCGATGTGTTGATGCAGATGTATTAAGCAAGTATTGCAGAGGGTGTCAAATTCGGTTCAACAGAAAACATTCTAAATATGAAAACTGGAAAACAAATCACAATTGTTCTTTAAACCACACAAACTTGTCAGGGGCAATGGAAAGGATTGGTGCACTTAATATCTTTCAACGCTCATTGAATTGTAAGGACTCATTTATAAGTACTATCCTGGAGATGAGGACTCCTCTTCCTTTAGTTATGTAGTAGCAAGTGATCCTTATTCTGAATATATCAAACCAGAAAAGTAATAGTGCATTAGACACATTAAAAAAAGAATGTCGCTGTCGATTAAAATCGAGGTTGCAAGAAAATTAAGTTATGAAGGCATAATAAATGAGTTTACAAGCATGAAAACACGTCGCAAACCCTTTTTTTGATGGTTTGCGACTTACTTGTATTATCTGCGTAATACACCACAGTATTTAAAAAAACTCTTTACTAGTAAACTCTATATCAATTTAACAACTATAAATGTGTTTAATTGAATTTAAGCGTTAATTTGATTGTTTTTAGTCTTATGAACGGCGACGTCAAAATATGTCAGGTACCGTGCTTTTCGGGGTAATCTGTAAATTTTATCCACTTTTAAAAAAATAATAATTGGGGCCCAAATGGCTAGTTTTTTTTTGGAAGGGGGGGGGGGGGAGGGGAGGCCCTAGACCCACTTGCCACGGCACTGCTAATAAATATTATACTCTTATAAAATTACAATATATATTACTAATATATATATCACAATATATATTACTAATAAATATTATACACAAACAACAAAATATTATACTCTTAATAATATACTCAAACAATAAGTTTGTGTAACACTCTTTTTTTTTTTATATAAATTTTAATTAAATAAGATAAAATCTTTTAGTTAAATTAATTAAAATTATTTTATTTAACATTAGTAAAAAATTATACCTCTAACCTAGTAGTTAACAACTAGGTTCCACTAATATTTCATAACTAGTTATAGCTTATTAGTAGAAATAAAAAACAAATATGAACCTAGTAGTTATCCAATTTAACAATTTCCAAACAATTTTCTAATAATTATTTTAAATGTGAAAAACTGAAATAATTTTAATCATTTTTTAATTATATTTCATTTATTTACTTTCTTTTAATTTTAGTTTTACAATAAATTATTTGTTGTTTTTTCTACAAATTTATGTACCTTTTAGTTCTTAACTACCCAATGCTGTGTGCTAGAAGGTTAATAACACAACTGCACGATAGTTGTGTTATTAACCTTCAGATATTTTTTTATTGCCATTTTAACTACATATTTGGCAATATATGAAATCAAAGCTTTTTTGTATTTAGATAGGTTGCTGCAATTCGGAATATCTGCATATTCGTGGTCACTATTAGTTGGTTTTCTCTTTCACAAATCACATTTTTTTTGTTAATTCAATTCTAGTCAAATATTTTAGTACTGGTGTGAGCAAAAGAATTGTCTAAAATTTTTGAAATATGAGCTTTATTTCTGATGCTGCAATTTCCATTGGAAAATTGAGCCTTAATTCAAATCAAAAGTTGTTTATATGTGGCTGTAAACTGTTGGCAATTGATATTGTTGTTAAATATTCTTGCAGATCTCACAGCTAAATAAGATTTCACAGCACAATAAAGAACTTGTTAGATGGTTTTGACTGAGCTTAAATGTTAAATAACTTTATGGCGAACCTTCTTTTTCTACTCAGTCAAGAAATATATTTTAATTGCTTCTGAATATCTAATGAAACCAGTTTTTATACTAGATAAATTCATTAGCGTAACAGTTAATCTCTTTAAGACTAATGATATAATTATATACCATGTCAAGAAATGGAAAACAAAGAGCCTTGCTGCATGCACACAATGCTGACTTGTATCCGTTGGCAAATAGGTTTTGTGAATTTAATATGTGATGTAATCAATCTTTTATGCGAATAAACTCAACAACATGTTTATATAATTATTTAATTGCAACATACAGTTTAATAATATAAAAAATCAGCTTTTATAAACTATAACATATAACCATAACACTTAACAGCAGGTAAACAGTATATATAACTTTAGTTAATGAGATATTTCAAAGAGGTGTTTTGAATATTTCTTTATTACAAATTTAATAAATTTGTTTTTTCAAACAAATGTTTGTTTGAGGATGTATGTAAAATTTGTTATATACATCCTCAATTCTATTGAGTGGTTATCCTTTAAATTATAAGAAATGATTATTTACTTTTTATTTGTTTTAAAAGTTGATATAAATAACTATAATTCAGACCTGTTTTTTTTTTTTACCAGCATAAGTGACACTTTAGAATATTTTATTCAAATAATTTATGCAATAATAGAATTATAATATAAGGAACCCCTGAGTTTGTATATCCCTGTATACAGACAGCACTTAATTAATAGTTCATGCAGCATTTGTACAAAATGGTATCTTGCTACAAAAAATAGATAATATAAAACTGTAGGTAGAGATGATTGTTGCTTACCATGCTGTTATGTTATTAACCTTTTAGCATACAGGATTGGGTAACTAAGAACTAAAAGGTACATAAATTATACACAAAACTTAACTATAATTGTAAATGCCATAAATAAATTGAATTAATCAAAAAATAATTTCTTTTTTTTCTCTAATATTTATAAAATTCATTTTTTTCTTTTTTTTAAAAAAAAATTTATTAGCCTTATTTAATTATTTTCTATCGTAGTTTGATAACGCAATGTAAAATCTATATTGCTTTCACCGCTAGGAACTTAAATCGCCGCCATTTCGGGAGGCGAATTTTAGCTTCAACTTTTTTCGGAAAAAACAATAGAATCCGCTATCTAGTTATATTTTGAGATCAGTACACCTGTAATAACTAGTAACTAGTAAGTTTCGTTATCACAACTATTTTATATAATATTCTGAAAAATTAAGAACTAAATGAATTTGACAACTAGGAGCAAAAACATATATTAGCGCGCGCTCCTTCGTAAACCCTATTATATAAATGTTATCATATATTGACACCGTTTTTTTTTATAAACATGTTAAAGTTTTTTCAATTCTTTTTTAACTTTTCAGTAAAAAAATTTTAAACTATACAAAATATTTTGAGATCTAACTAGATTAAAATAAAATAAAATAAAACAATAATTTTTGATTGTCTTATTATATTATTCTCACACCGGATGTCTTAACTCAAATGAAGGTTTTATATTTTATAATAAAAGGTTTTTGTGATTAATTAAGTAAATTAAATTTACCGTATTGTTTATAAAGATAAACTGTTGTGTATTGTACACAGCTAAGTTACTAACACGCTATGGACAATACTATTTTTTTGTGGAGGCGTGTTTGCAACTTAACTATGTTAGTATTATTTTTGTAACAATAGTTATCATATAAGATGAATCATTTAAAAATTAGCTATGCTCTGTTAATTTAAACAAAAGAAACAACAACAACAAATTGCCATTTTATCAAGTTTTTTTATTTTTTTAAATTAAGGTTACAGTTTTTTTTTTCAATTTAAAAGACCCATTAAATCACCAGTAATTAGATAGACCAATATATAGGGAGCCCTTGATGGGCTACAATGCTACTAGTAATATGATGAGGTTTTAGGTGAAGTTTCTCTTAACCTGAGAGCTCTACCTCTATAACAGCATCGTTAATGTATTAACTGATTCTATACGAGCAAACCGGTATTAAAACGAGTTTGTCGGTAGTAGAATCCCGGTACTTAACAGGAAAAACATATCGCGTTGAGTGATCAAGTAGCTTTTTAATAACTTTTTTAATTTATTGTTAAATGGATGATTTATTGGAGTTTGAAAAGAAAATTTTAATTATATTTTTTCATGGAAAAAATAAAAAATATATAACATCATCACTTCTGTTATTTTTCTTTTTACCTACAACTTCCGCAGGCAAAAAGAGATTTGTGCTTAATTTTAGTTTTTTATTATAGTTATAATTTTTACTATAATAATTTTTTATTATAATAAAAAATTTGATCTTTAAACTTATAGAAGTTTTTTTTAGCTTTTTTTAGTTTATCAATTATTAGTACCAGTCAATAAGCTTGGGAAACACATTTCATAAAAAAAAAATCTAATTTGGAAAATGTAACAGCACTCTTACTTAGTATTCTAATGTAATCAGCATTCTTACTTAGCAAGAATTTATTGACACCATATTAAAAAAGTTGCTAATATATAGTTTCAATCATAGCAATTTTCTAAAAATTTTCTATAAATATTAAGTAGATCTTTTCAAAGATGCAAAAAAATGCCCATGTTTAATATTTATATTTTCAGAAATTTTGAATTTTGTGCAGATATTATTAACAACAATTTTTATTTACATTTACTGTAACAGCAGTAAAGTAGTAAATGAAAGTAACAGTACTAATTAAAATTAGATATAAATAATATCTAAATTTTCTTCAAACAGCTGTATATTTAATATTAGGTGAAACTTAGTTTATAAGTTAATGTTATTTGTAACTATGTTAATGTAATTAATAAAGTAATTAACAAATTAATAAGTTGATAAACTGTTTTAAATAAAAAAAGTATTTTATAAAAATTACTAGAAAAAAAAAGAATTTTAAAAGATAAATTATAGTTATCATTAGTTATAAATCAAGCATGTTTTAAACTTTATTAATACAAACTAATATGTAAGTAGGTCTTCCAGAATTTTATGCCTCACTTAGTTTATACAAAAACATCAAGAAGTTAAGTTAGGGTTTATTATACCTATAAGGTTTCTCAAAAAGCAAACAGTGTAATTAGTACTTATTTTTATTTTAATATTAGTCCATAAATAAAGCTATATAGTATTAAATTTATTTTATGACCGGCTGTAATGAATGCTCAAAGCATCAAAGATGCATTTGTGATGCATATATCGAAAAAAATTCTTGCATTCAAAATAATTTTATGAAAGTTTAAACAGTTTGCTTTAAGAATATAAGGGTCATAGATTAGATTGTTACTCCATTCTTGATAAAAATTCATTACTTTTTTGTTTATTTAGAACAACTATCAGGTTGTTTTAAACAATCAAAAATCAAGCAGCCAATCTTGAATGTGATCTACTTTCTGTGACAGCTTGGAACTCACAGTAATTGGTGAATTAAACTAGTACTTTACTGCTAATAATTATTCCAATATTGTTAATATTGTTAATTGGCAACATAATATACTGAGTCCTCTACTTTATGTCTTCTAGGATTATCTTTTACTCATAACTTCTCACGAAAATCATATGTCCGATCAATTAGAAAGTTAGCATCTGTTGCCTCATTATATTGACCTTGCTATTTTTTTTCCTCCTAATTCTGTTCTCTACCTCTATAAATCTCTTATCTGTCCTTATGCAGAATAATAATGTTTTATTTTGGATGTTTCTTCTAATGATGTCAATTTTCAGTCACTTATCATAAGGAGTTATGTTTCATTTATCTGATTGTCTTAAAGTTGCATCTCTTTCTATTTTCTACAAATCAAAGCTGTTGAGTTCTGTTGAGGGAGACTTTTTGATAAACTTTAGATCCAGGTATTTTCCCACTAAACATCTTTACCATTAAAAAAAAGGCCCTTAAAACTAGACTGAGTAAGTATATTTGAAATATTATTTCTATAATCATAAATATATTTTAACATTAAATATTTACATTTTGAATGTTCTTGGTTATACTCCCAAGTGACAGTTTTAGCTTTTTCAAAGGCATTAGGTAATGGATCATATTTAAAGCATAGTTGACTTTCTGGTCTGTTCATTTGAAATACAATAATACTTCTTAATGTTCCATCCAGTTAAAAATTAGTTGGGTTAAAACCTAGTTAAAAATTAGTTGGGTTAAAATTTAAACTGTTATATTGTTTTTAACATTTTGTTTTTATTATTTTTAATCATATTTCAAAAGAAAAAACCATTATTATGGCTAAATGTGTTTCAATAATCAAAATGGTTTTTCAATTTAAAAAATTTAAGTTTTTTACTGACTAATTTATACTTTTTACAAAACAATATAATTTGATATAATTTCTGTTGATTTTTGAACATGTTAACATTTTAAATATACAAAAATATTTATAGAATATTTTTAGAAATACTTTAGTTATAATTTAGTATTATAAAATTATTTATTTTAAAATTCAAAGTTTATCCATTTTAAGTCTTTTGTGTTTTTATTTTTAGTTTTAAGGGATTTATCAAAATGAGTACTTTATCTTAGTGTGTGTTTTATTTTTAGTTATTGAGGTTCTTAGACAATGGTCAACTCAAGATCATGCTTTTCATGAAAATCATTTTGCTAAATTTTGTTCTTCTTAATGTTTCTAATATAGCAGGTAAATATTATTGTATATTTATATAATTAGATGATTTTAGGTTTTATTTAATTAAAATTGTTTTCTTTTTTTTTTCAATTAAGAGTTTTTTATCATCTTTAAATGTTTTTCAACCAAAACAGAACCTGTTTTATTATCTTGAAATAATATATTGAACCAAAACAGAAGCTGTTAAGCTTTTATTACTTAATAATGTTTATATCTCCTATTTTGTAAAATCAATTTTGCAAAATTATCAGCATTCAGATGATCTTAATGTTATAGGCTATTTAAAAAAAAATATTATAACATCAAGAAATGTAAAAAATAGTTTTTGTAAGTTTTTTGTTTGATTTTAAATTCTTATCTTATTAAGTTATTCTAAACATATATTTTAGTTTTAAGCATTTTTAATATAAAATTTTGAAAATTATTTTTATATTCAAAGTTGCTTTTGAAAATTTTATTTTATCTCCTTCAGACAAAATTTTTTTTTTTTTCATGTAGATGCTCTTCAATTTATTGCAAAGCCATTTAGTGGTGGAACTTGGCATGTTAACAAAGATGACAATATTACTATATCATGTCTAACTGATGATTCTTCTGCAAATGTCACTTTGTTAGTTGGAGAAAAAACAATCCAGGACCAATTTATTAAACGAAAAGGACTACTCAAAATAGATGGGCAAATTTTTAAACTTCATCTTATTACTTCATCTGATTGGAATACATACCAATGCATGGCAAGAGCTGAAGACAAGAATTTAGTTTTAAAGCTTGGAACACTTATTGTTAATCCAGGTATATCAATTTTAATTACAATCAATAATTAACCTTTTTTTATTTTTAACTTTTAAGAATTAAAAAAATAAATAAATAAAAACATTATTTAATAGTTAAAATTAATAAAGTTGTTTTTTACTTGTTTTTTTATGACTTGAGTTTTAGAGTTTTTGACATTTAAAATTTTTTAACTCAAGTAATAAAAAAAGATTTAGACAGCTTGCTGAGGCAACAACAAGGTGTCTAAAAGTTTATGATTTTTTCCTCCCATAAAATCCATGCATGATGATGTAACATTTATTAATGAAATGATATATATTTTTCTAAATGTCAGATTTATAATTTTTGGGGCCCTATTCTAAATGAAATTTCAGGGCCTTTAAAATTTCATTCAGCCTAGGCCCCCAAAAAATAGGATACAAAAACTTTATTAAAAACTTTTCAATTCATAACAACTTTTTCTTATTTTTTCTATAACATACATAATAATTAATTCATTGAAATTGATTTCTTTTATTTTATAAACAATACTAAATAAGTCAAAATATAATATTGATACAAGATAATATTACAAGAGCATTCAACAAAACTTGAGACATAATAACTCGATGACTGGCTTTAATAAACTTTAACTTTGAAAAGGATCTGAACAATTAATGAACATAAGATACAAAAAAATTTTCAATAAAATTTTAACATTTGGAAATACAATTTTTCAATTTTTTCTCCTTAATGGTTTCATAAATTTTCTGGTGATAAATTGGAATTTTCATGAGCAAATGTAGATGTTTGACTTCAAATAAATTTATGTTGATGTCTTCATTATACAATTTAATGATTTCAATGACTTTAGCTTTCAAATTTTCTTTTCAATTTCAATGTCAATCTGAAAATCAAATTTTATAAAGATTGAGAAACATCGTTAATTCTATCCAAGATTTTTAATTGAAAAATGAATTTAAATTTCCCCAATTTTTCCAACATATTTTGAGCCTCTGCCCTGCTCTCAGTATCAAAATCTAAATTTTCAGAACAAATTATTTGAAATCAACTTTACTGAGTTTGCATGAGCATTCTATCTAGTTTTAGACAGAGTTTTGAGTGATCGAGTGCTGTGTTTAGTTAGTATGTTATTATGTATTTTCTGGATGATTGTAAAAAAATTCATACATTCTATGGTGGAGTTCCCACTTGCAGCTCTTACTAAATTTAAAGAATGCTCTGGGCATGGTAGGAATTGAGCAAATTTATTTTTCTCTAAAATGGCCTCCTGCATTCATTTATATTTTTGATGAGTGAGCGGAGAATATGCTAACCATTTTCTACTTCTAGGGGTTTCCATTGACCTTTTTACAAAAAAAAAGTTTTTGGTACAATAATGATCTTAATCTTAATACGATTACGTAGAGGCCAAAAAGTTGTCTGCTGGTCCTGTGGCTATTAGTCATAATTTTATTTGTTAATTCTTCCCATGTCCCAATATCATTCCTATAATTATCATGAGTTTCTTCAGGCTCTTTTTAACTCAGTTCCTCACTCTCAATATTAGGTTCTTTTTTTCAATTCAAACGCCTCTGGGCAATCTGCTTCACATTCATTTCCTATCAGTTATTTTTCATTATTTTTCCCGCTAAAACCATTTTCCTGTGCTACAATTCTGGACTAGAAGTTTTGTCGTCCAACATACTTTTTTAGCTAATTCATTTTTGAAAAACTCTTTCTTGTGTTTGCTCCACTTTCTTAATTTCTTTTTATTTTTTCTGCAAATGTTATAAATATATTTATGTTGTAAAAATTTATTATTTTACTACCTAATTTTTACTACTTTCCATCAAATTTATCACCTTAATGAACGGTTTTGCCAAATTTATAGCCTATTCCTAAATCCGGCACTATATATATATATATATATATATATATATATATATATATATATATATATATATATATATATATATATATATCAAGCCTTCCCAGGATAGGCGTGTGGTTTTTTTTCTTGTACGACCACGAAAACGTTTTTCAAGTTAGAGAACGTGATCACGAATTTGCGCAAGTTATATTATATGCGTTACTGAAAAACTGTTTTAAATTTAAATAACTATATAAGAAATTAAAGTAAACTTAAATAGAAAACAATAATAATAGTTTAAATAATTTGTGTGTTGTTTTTATTTTTGTTTTTTCTTTGTGGTTATTATTATCGACAACAAAATTCATTAAAAAAAAAAAAACGGTTTTAGGCATTAAAAAGGATGACTTTCCCATATTTTATGTGTTTTTTCTTTTAAAGAGGAAAGAGAAAATATGTATCGTCATCTGTTTGTAAAATATATTTGTATAATTATAATCTAACAAGTTTAAATTATATGATCGCATTTGCAAACTCTGGTAAAATATTAGGTCTTTAAAATTTTAGTTCATGCAAAGCTGTGTACTTTGTTTATAAGGAGCAAATTATTAAAAGTTTGCTAGGGAGAAAGTTACAAAAAACAAAACAAAAACAATAAACTTACGACTACAAAAGTAATAACACTTTAGTCACTAACTGCATTATAAAAGTAATAAAAACTATAATAGTGTTATTACATTTATATAGCACTTATTACTTTTAAAGTTCATTCTTTGTTCAAACAACATTATTAATTCCAAACATTTATTAAAGTAGAAAAGCATCTAGAACAAAATAAAGCGGATATTCAAATATTATTAAAAATTTCAGGAACATTTACATATCACTTAAACAATGTTATAAAAAAGTACTTTATAAAAAGTATAGCATTATGAAAAACGTCACGTAAAAACATGCGTTAATTTCAACCAATAAGAATTTTTTATTGGTTAATTTTAAAATTAACGCGCTGTTTACGGTCCATTAGTAACATTTTTCATAATGCTAAACTTTTAATACAATATGTTTTCATAATGTTGTTTGTCGCGTTTTTATAAGTTACTTTAGTTTTAATATTATTTGAACATCCACTTTATTCTTCTAGATATTTTTCTACTTCAATTAAAATTTGGGAATATTTATGTTGCTTGAACAAAGAATGAATTTTAAAAGTTATAAGTGCATTATAAAAGTAATAACACTGTTATAGTGTTATTACTTTTGTAATGCAGTTAGTGACTAGAGTGTTATTACTTTTGTAATCGTAAGTTTGTTTTATTTTTTTTTTCGCTAACAAATTTAAGTTGATTCTCCCCTTAAAAACAAGGAACACAGTTTTGTATAAACTAAAATTTTGAATACTAGATATTTTTCCAAATTTTGCGTTTTGCATTCACTTAATTCAACCCTTGTTGTTACATTAAAATTATACAAATAAATTTTATAAACACATTGCAATTTGTATTTTTGCTTTCCTCTTAAAAAAAAATTAAGAAAAGGAAAATCATTCTTTTTATTGTAGACTTTTAACTGTTTTTTTTTTATTTCGCCAAATTTTGTTGCTGAATGTAACTCTAAAGAAACATAAAAATAAAAACAGTACACAAATTATTTAAATTATTAATTTGTTTTTATTTTTTTCTATTTCAATCTCTTTTTATTTTGTTAGTTTTGTTTTTTTGTTTTTGAAACTTTTTCAGCATTATTATAAAACTTGCAAACGGCCGTGTTCACGTTTTCTAAAATATTATAATCGCGTGTGGTCATACGAGACGAAAAACCGCACACCTTTCCTGGGAAGGCTTGATATATATATATATATATATATATATATAATATATATATATATATATAACCCTCAGAATTAGGGTCAGCATTTGGCATTGATGACCTATAAGTGTTTGAGGTCAGCAAAAAATCGCCGACCTTGTTTCTATGTTTTATGGTAACCCCTTTGTGTCAGTTTTTTTCTGCCCACCTCAAACAGTTTGAGATTGGCAATCTTTTGTCAACCTCATTTTTTCTAATTCCAAGGGTTGTATATATATATATTAGTTTTTGAAAAATTTAGTATATTTATTTTAAAATTAGTTCATAAAAAACTATTATGCATGAATTATACATATGTTGGCTCTGGTATTAGTCGTTCACATTAAAAACATGTATCTTAAATGATTCTTTTATATTAAAAATGGATAAAACTTTTTTTTTGAACAAAATTTTTTTAAATGTGCTTATCTATTGTGTGTATTTCATAGCCCCATGCAACAAGGCTCCTGATTTACAACGCTTTGGAAAAACATTAAACTATAGTGTGGATTTAGAGTATGAGTTATTTGATGAAATAATAATAGTTTGTTCAACACCTGGCATAGACGGCATTAAAAATATACTTACATGGGTAAACAAAAATATATCATCAGATTTAAAACAAACAGTTTTACCAGATGAAAGGTGTTTTTATTTTTATTGATTATTACAAATTTTCTATTTAACAATTACATTAGGCTGATGATGAAAATGATGATGATGTATTTTTTTAGAGATCAAGTTACATATATAGATAGGTTGCAGTTGAAAATTTCATATGCTAATTTAATGAATGAAGGAGAATATATTTGTAAAAGAAGTTTGTGTAATATAACATCAAGTCGTTCTATCAAATTAAAATTTAAAAGTATGTAAATTCCATTTTCTATTATTCATATAAAACTATTTAATTATTTACAATTTTCGTTTTTTTACATTATAAAAAAAAGTTCAACTTTAACATTGTTAAAGTTTTTTTAATATTGAGATTAAAAAATTAATAATAAAAATTAATAACAAAAATTTAATTTATTTATTAATAATAAATAAATTAAATTAGAGAAAAAAATCTATAATATAATATAAAATAAAAATGTTTTATAACAACAGCTTAAAACTTCCCCGACAAGAAATTTGATTTGGACCCTGTTTATTTTAATTAGATGATTATAAAATTTAAAGCTCTAATATATAGTTTATAAGGTTGAGCTTTTAAAAAAATTTACAGGTAAATCGATAAAACTGTTTTACAGGTTTACAAGTTGAATTATGTCAAACAAAAAAAAAAATTGATAACAGCAACAGAATCAAAAAAGTTTAAGATTTCAACTTTTTTTCCCAAAGTGAACAATTGTAGAAGTTATTTCAGCACTGGATGGATTTAGAACCTACAGCACTGGATAGATTTAGTTTCCATGACATTGATAACAGCTCTTCCATTCAATCTGTAATGTGTAAAAAAGGTTATGATTTTTCAAAATATACTTGATGTGACATATCTTTGAAAAATTGTAGGTACATGAATGTTAATATTCATCAAAAACACACATACTGGAATTTGGGGTTGACACAAGCTTCTAGATCAAGCTTCTAGATCATTGTTTGTTGAAAAAGCTGCAGCAATATGGGTTGAACATTGAGATAGCATTGCTTGCTCAGTAACGAAAGTAGCTTTCATGATGGTTAAGTTTAAAAAATTGGTTTTTATTAAGTATCAAATGTGTTTGACTTATGGAGTGCATTTGGCAGTTCAAGAAGTGCTGTACGAAAGCCCTTTCCAAAAAATTCATAATAACACATTGCAATTAACCACTGTTCATAATAACACATTAATAAAAAAGATTCATAATAACATATTGCAGGCCTTGTTTTAAATAAAAAAGTGCTTAACGCATTAGCTTAACGCGATATTTGACGTCATGAAATTATCTTTATTTTTTTTAATAGACGTTAAGTGTTTTAACTACCACAATAAATAAATAACCGCTAACTAGTTCAATTTAACAATTAATTCAAATAACTATAAACGTTTTAAATGTAAATTTATAATAAAAAGTTTGTTATATTATTATTAATTTTAGTTCAATATTATTTAGTAAAAACAATATATATATATATTTTAATTATTTCGAAATTAGTTTTTGAATAATTATTGTTTATAAATCGTTATTGAATAAAAAATAGTGATTTTTTTTTATTTTTAAAAATTTCTGGAGTAAACAAAAAATATTAACATTGATAAACAAAAACCTATGTTAATTATTTAAACAGCGATTTTGGTTTGACTAACAAAGAATAATTTAGGAAAGAATATTTTTTTAAATTTATCTTGCTTAGCGTTTCAACTTGCGTTATATAAAAATATAAAAATGTTTTGTCTGCTTTTAGCATATTTTTGATACCTAGTTTAGAATGCGTTCGCCAGGAATTTAATTCATAAATTTTTTATGTTATTGTAAAAATGTTTTACATTTTCAACAAGTCACAAAGAAAAAGAACTATAGAGAAATATCGTTTTTAACGATTAAATCTTTTTTTTTTAAATTTTAGGAAATTAAAAAAAAATTAAATTAAATATAAAAGTCTTAATTATGCAAACTCTTTTGTTAATTATTCTTAAAACAAAAAACAAATACTTCTCCGCAAAACTTTAATCGTGCAAACTTAAAAAAATACTTAACTAAAATAATATAAGTATATTTAATAATTTCAATCGTATCTGTTTATAATAAACGTTCGTAAAAATTTGTTTATTAAAAATTAAGTTTCTTAACTTATAAACAAACTCAAAAGTATTTTCATTCTACGTATAATTACAAAAAAAAAAAAAAAACTCTTTTTTTTCTTCGTTTGTAAGCAATTTAACTTAATAAAATAAAAAAAGAATAAATATGAGGTAATCTTTGTTTTGAACAAATTTAATTTATTTATTAAACTATATTTTTATTTTTATTTATATATCAACTTAAATTAAATATAGTAACATGTTAAAATATTTTAACATGACTTGTGTTATTTATAAACCGTAGGGCAGCTGCCCTAACGGCACAATTGTTTTAGGATTACATTTTATTTTGATGAAGATCACATAACTTACATTTGATTTTAATAACGTAAGTCTTCTCTTTTTTTGTGATCATTGCATCGGCAAACCATCGGCAAAGTCCCAAGATTTAAAAGTTTTTAAAGGAAATCTTTTGTCCTCCAAAATACAATCCATATTCGAACTTTAAACAATTTAGAGAGAATAGAAATATAAAAGGTTTTTATATACTAGTTTGTCTTGTTTTATAAAGAAAAATACATATTCATTAATAAAAAACAGAGACTGTCATTAAACTAAAACGTGCCTTAGTATTTATTTAACGGAATCTGTAATGTGCGCGTGCATAATGAAACCTCCATTATATAAATATATTCAACGTAATATTAGTGTCATCAGCGGATGTTATAGTCTACTCGTGATTTCTTTACCTTATAATATAACTTGATCTATGAAAAAAATTTATTGAATCGCACACAGAAGAAATTTAACAAATTGTCTTCATTCAAAAATTGCGAGTAACAGGTAATTTTTTTTTTCTATGCTGGCCCCCTCCCCCCGCTTAACTTAAAAGCAAAGGTATCTATATTTTTTGCAAATGTTTTTTAATATGAATTTAGTAAAAAACTCTTAAAAAATTTATATTACAAAAAACATTTATATTCTGTATTAATAAGTTTGAAATATAGATTTTTTAAATGTTTTTTACTAAAAACTTTAAAAAGTTACTACTTTTTATTATAAACATTTGCAAAAAATGTGTAGTTAAGGATTGACGAACAATTTTTCATGATACTAAATATTTGAATAAAAAGTTAAGCGTAAAATTAAATGTTATAAAAACGTATGATATGTCGCGATAAAAAGTTACTTCAATTATTTTTAACATAATTTTTTTTTTCTAATAAATATTTTTACATATCGTTATTCAAAAGTTAATGTGGTTTTTTTAAAAATTAATTACTTTTTTTATGTTACTGCTAATTTAAAAGTTAAAAAATGATAAAAAGTAGCTTAACCAAAACAGCTCTACGCGTACGTAAAAATCGCTTAAGGCGTACGTAAATTGCTCTAGGCATAACGCTTTAAAACAAGGCCTGATATTGCAAGTAACAAGTCAGTTTTCTTGGTGGTTCCATGGATGAAAAACATTCCCATTCCAAAAGTAAAAGTACACTTACTATCTGTCTTCACAAAAGTCAGAAAAATTGTCAAGTTATTTTGAAAATCTCCAGTCAAAAATGATGTTATCCAAGGAAAAAATCAATAAAACTCATGGAAAAGATGTTTTTCTTATCAAGATGGAACTATTGTCTACTGCCAATGGTTTAACAGTTTAAAAAAAGTAAAGGTTCAATTATAAAAGATTCAATCAGAAAATATTGCAGGAGGTTTCTTCACATTTGTCTTTGTGTGCATCATTTTGTAGCAAATATAATCTAGTGTTAATTCTTTCTTGTAGGTTACTTTTCAAGTTTTTATTTAAAATATTATCTTAAATATAATATCAGCTCTTTTTTAAAATACTTTTCTATTATTGAAATAAAAATATTTTTAACATTCATCTAACCTTTTTAAAATAGTTTTGATATAGTTGAAAAAAACAATGTTTTCTTATAGATTTAAAAGTTTTATACATACTTCTGTGGTTAAATAGTTAACTTTAAAAACAAATACATATATAACTTATTGTTTTTAATAAAACAATCTAATTATCTAAATCAAAAAGTTGATAAAGAATGTTTTCAGATTTTAAATAAAATGCATTGTTTTTAATGTTTTACTGTGCAATAAGTTTAACATCATTTACAAGAAAGTCTATTTATTCAAGGAATTGTAAAAAAAAAAGTGTGGATTTTTTGTTTCAAACCATATTGGAGTATAAAACTGAACAACAAAGTATTCAAGCTTTTTTAGAGACACGCTTGGTTTGTTTTCTTTGGTTTGTTTTCTTTGTATATAAATAGAGAAAGCAAATAGCTCTAGCTATTTGCTTTAATTATCTTGCATGGTTAAGTGGTCCATTTTAATAAGCAGCCTATTTCCAGAAACTTAACTGGAGCCAAGTTCTATACAATATTCAAATAATTGTCTTTGATTGTAACCAAGATTTATTAGCATTTCTTCTAGAATACTGTCATCTTCTAGCCAGCACAAACACTTGTTTTTAGAATCTAAAATGTTAACACCTTTAGACGTCTAAATTTAGATAACTATAAGACATCTAATTGTATTTATCTTTGAGACAACGAATAATAGTTGTCTCAAGCTGTCTAAAAAATGACTACTAATAGATGTCTTATATTTATCTGAATTTAGACATCTAAAAGTGTTAACATTTTAGATGCGAAAAAAAAAATGTCTAAAAGATGTGTTTGTGCCATCTGGGCTACTACTCGATTTTCCAAAAAATAAAAAAAAAACTTGATTTTTTATCCTCAATATTTTCAGCACAATTTTTGCCAAGTAGTCCGCTGAAGCTTTTTGGCCCAGTTGTGTCGACATTTTTTAAAAAAGAGCTCTTAATGAAAGTTTGTTTTAATGTAATGCACGTTCAATAAGGTTTTCTTTTTAAAAACTTCTTGTTTCACCACTAAGCCACTTATTGGTCTAGTATTGGTAGCATAAATGTTAAGGTTCTATGCTTTTATTATTATTATTTTGAGCATTTCTTTTTGTGGTAAGTTTTTTATTTTACTTGCTATTTTGCTTTCTGATCAACTCAAAGACAAGGTAATTGATTTTTGTTTTGATTCCACATCTTCGCTAAAAGTTTTGACTTTTTTTTTCTTTTAAATTTGAGTCTATTTTAGATTTATCAATAA